CCTCCTCAACCTATTGTTCCTGGAGTATACTCACAATTCCAGCAAACTTGGTGCCAATTCAGATGTTAGCAGCTTGTTCATCTAAAATATGCATTATTATTAAGGGGTTTCTCCAAGTACCACGACCACGTAAGTGTTTTAAAGTTGCAGCACAGAAGATTGCATAGTGGGTAAGGTTACGTAACTCATGGAACTCTCTTTGTGACAGGAGGCTAGTGGTTATCCTTACTTGTGATCCACTGATTTCTGTATAACAGCAGCATGGGAGGACACACGCATGTGAGTGCCCCTCAATATGTGAGGTACAGGGCTCAAAAGACACATTTGAATGTCTCGTTCTCATGTATACAACTTATAGACTTTCTAGTCATGTGGTTCTGGGTGAGGATAAGAAAATACATAAGCAGTGGAATCATACAGAGAAATGTACAATATACCTCAAACTTCACCCATCCATATAGTGTTAGCTAATCAGGTTTAATCTTGAAAAACTCAGTACACCTATTGACACTTACCTATACGTACAGGAAGTATATTTACCAGCCCCCTGTTGATATAAAGAGACAACCAATCAGTAGAATGTAAGTATAGTTAAGTGTGTGAACAGTGTATTAATAATGCCCAATACTTTTGTGTTCCAGTTAATGCAGCAAGACTATTTGGATCCAAACAGCGCAAACATCGAAAAAGAGGAGATGGTAAAAAGAAAAACCCCATACATTTTAAAAAGACAGACACATGTGAGCAAAGCAAGAAGACCCTACATACTCAAAAGAGGTTCTTATTACTAACAAAATAAATGATAAAAAAAAAGATGTGTTTATAGGTAAATGTGATTTATTGTTATTTTGATCACAATTAAAATTACATTTGTGTCATAAATATATTCAAAAAATATTATCATTAATATATAGTAAATGTGTTTTTATTCATGTTGTTTCTTAAATGTGATTATTTTTCTTCCAATATCAAATTTAATACATTTTGAAATAAATACCATTTCTCTGCACAATACTTGTACACACATGACAATTCAAACAATGGACCAATGAGATTTTACTTAAATGACTATTCTAATTTATTTATCAGGCTTATTCAATAAAGTTAGAATTACCAGAAATTAAAAGTACATTTTAACATCAATACGAAAATTGACAAATTGGAAAAATCATCCATGTCAGCTGTGATTCCAGTTCACTAACTTTGGCCTTGAATTTGAAATTCACTTAAAATTCCTGACGATTTTCACTTTAGTGGTGAATTACTTGAGAGTATTCTAAAAAATAAATTGTGGAGAGTTCAAAATTAATTTGCTAAATTTAAGACCAAAATAAATTAGAAAGACATCTCTGGAACAAGTGATTTGAAACAATTTTGGCCTAGACAACAAAGTACAGTTGTTGACAAATTATCTTTTGTGAAAACATGCACATAAAAACACAGATAAGATATTTGTATCAAATCAATCGCTGCCTGGATTTACACGCAATTATCAGTGCTATAAACACACAACGTGGTATACCACTCTACAAAAAAATAAAAATTAATAAACAAAAAAGCGTTTTAAAAGAAATCAAACTAAAGAATAAAAAAATATATATATATGGAAAAAGTATTTATATATGTGGGAAAATTAGAGAAACACTGAACAGTATTAAACTCAATAACCACAGGCAGATATAGGCTGTATCTAGATTATGTTAGATAAAACACATCAGGGCTAAATACAGATTTCACTGATAATTCCAAGTAGTTTATATTTAGTGGCTAAATCTATATTTAGAGTTGGCACACCACTAGGATACTGGAATGTGTAATGAAAAAAATAAATGAGAAATTATACAGTTTAAACATTTTGAACATAATAAGCTTTTACTCTTTTTACAAATCAGTTTCGACAGAATGTCAGAATCTGTGTAAAGTATGCAAAATTAGAGATTCTAATTAGACTGATTTATGAAACTAAGAGCAACGTTAAGATTGGATCATTGATTTTAGATTAAATCAATCAAATCTGCCATGAAAAATGATGTTGAGATACTGACTGTATGTACCAGGAAGAACTTTTCAGATCTAGTTATGGCCTGTGGTAGCTACCAGGTTGCTGTACCTAAACGGAAACAGTTGTTCCAATGTTGTCCTTGTTTCAATGTTGGTTTTGTCTTTTTAAAGCATATTACACAACACAATTCCTTTTAAAATCAGCATCACAGTATAAGGACTTCAGTATTGTCAGGATTACAGAATGATCCAGCACGTAGAATTGTGTAACACAGAGGACTGATAGGTAAAGTATTCCGGACCTTAGAATGGCCAGACTAACGTACCAAAGACAAAAAGAAGTCCTGCGCTCACTCCCATCACTTTTTGTATCACACAGCTAGGTTACAATGCTGCCGCCCATCCCATGTGTTCCTTATTAAGGGTTAACAAGTATATAGGGGTGTATATAAAAAAATACCCCTTTCTGTCTCATTAGAGATATTTTTGCCTGAAGTTCAAGGAAGCAAGGTAAAGGGTCAGAGTAGGACCCGTCTAGGGGGGTCTGCCTTGACGTTGGCAGACGGGCATTCCCTCCAGTGGCCATTGGAGTAACTAAATGACCTCCATTTGTTTAAATATACATAGGGATTAAGGAGAGGGCGCAGGTAACTTTTTTTCTTTGGTTTTTACTATATGTATTAGCTGATGTGTATTGTAGTAATTGCAGCCACCCTGGAGTGATGGGAGTGAGCGCAGGACTTTTCTTTTTGTATTTGTATGCACTTTTTGTATCACACAGCTCAGTTACAATGCTGCCGCCCATCCCATGTGTTCCCTATTAAGGGTTAACAAGTATATAGGGGTGTGTATAAAAAATACCCCTTTCTGTCTCATTAGAGATATTTTTGCCAGAAGCTCAAGGAAGCAAGGTAAAGGGTCAGAGTAGGACTTGTCTAGGGGGGTCTGCCTTGACGCTGGCAGGTGGGCATTCCCTCCAGTGGCCATTGGAGTAACTAAATGACCTCCATTTGTTTAAATATACATAGGGATTAAGGAGAGAGTGCAGGTAACTTTTTTTCTTTGGTAACGTACCAAAGAATAGTCAGGAATAGCCGAGGTCAAAGGATACAGAAAGAGACACAACAATAAGGAAAAGCCAGGAGTCAGGGATGCCAGAAAACAGAGAAGTCAAAAACAATGCCAAAGTCAAATAACCAGAATAACCAGGATCAATAACGCTCTCTCGGACAACCACAAGGGAAACCACGACAGGGCACTGAGCAGGATAAGAACTGGGCCTAAATACCCCTCCTCTAGATCTGATAGGCTGTAACCAAAGGCAGTGACTCCAAAGGCAGTTACCAGGTTCCTATTTGCATAATTGCTGCTCAGCATTAACCCTTCTGTGGATTTGGTTGCTGCGTGGCACAACTTTTCCTGTGTGGACAGTAAAAGCCATTAGACACATTTTATAAGCGACAAGTATATTCAGTTAAGCATATTGCAGAATTATAAAATATCAGATATTCCAAATATTTACAGCACAACTCAAGTGACATGCATAGATTTAAGGAACATTTTCCCTTCTTCTCCTTCAATCCTATTCATCATTCCCGTTTTCTGACCTTCCTCAAATATTGTTATTTCTGGTTTCACGCTGATTGGCAATGTGCATCACATAACTCAAGTGAGGTAAAACTAGTATTCCCTGTGACTGAAAAAAGTCAGTAAGCAAAAGGTATGTACTTTTGGGAACAAGGCATAATGCAGTATTCATTACTTTTTCAGTATCTATTTTTCTAATTTCTCTGCTGTTTTTTTTCTATAATTTGGGATAGTGTTGCTACATATATAGATGTATACATGACCCATCTACATTTTCTAAATTTTAGGAGGATCATTAAAAGCCTCAACTAATAGCTACATAAGGGTTGAAGACTAAAAGAAAGTAGTAGGTTCTCTTCAACATACTGCTTAAGATCTTACCCTAGGTTAGTGTAACACACCCGACCTTTATTAAGTCAGTACCTTAATTCATATAAACACCAACCCACAACCTCACCCTGCCAGTTGTGGAATAAATGCACTTTTCTTTGCCAAATCGTTCTGTACAGCTATTCCCAAGGGCTATCCCAACGTATGTCCCCTTATACAACATCCACAACATCAGAAAAAAAAGGGAATACAGCTGACTGGTCTACAGAAAAAATAATCACAACATAGTGTAATACAGTAAAAGCAAAATGGAACACTGCGCAGCTGAAAATACACTCACAGGATAGATAATATTAAAAGGTTCTACATGTTTCGTCCCCACATGGGACTTCCTCAGGGACCAAATGAATAAAATAACAAAAAATAAAACAATTTCTTAAAAATCATCTTAGGGATTCCCCTGTGGGGACAAAACATGTAGGACCTGTTTCTTAATTTTATTTATTTTATTTAAAGGGACAATATAGTCACCAGCACAACTTCATCTTATTGCATTTGTTCTGGTGAGTAGAATCATTCCCTGTAGGCTTTTTGCTGTAAACACTGTCTTTTCACCCTCTTTTCCACCCTCTTTTGGAGATATTGAACTTTCCTCATAGAGATGGGTTGATTCAATTCAGCCATAGGAGGAGTTGCTGATATGCCAGGGCTGTGTTTGACTTGTGCTGGCTCTGCACCTGATGATGTCAGCAGGCAGGGGCAGGTCTGAGGCAGACAGGGGTAGAGCCAGCAGCTTTAGACTTGAATATATTTTGCTGTAAGGTCACGGCCTCTGGGAAGCAGGCAATAGAATGGAAGATGATTGGTGGGTAGATTCTGGTCCTCCCACTACAGCCACTATCCTCCAACAGCAGCCCCTGTCCTTCTACTACAGCCACAATCCCTCCAACAACAGTCCCTATCAACCCACTACAGTCACTGTCCCCCCACAAAATACTGTTCCCTCACTGCTTCCCCTTTCCCTCCGGGACTGCTCCTATCCTCCACACTATAGCCCCTGTCCTCCTACTACAACCCCTGTCCTCCTACTACAGCCACTCTCTTCCCACTATAGTACCTGTGTACCCCACCAGTGCCCCTGTCCACCCCACCACAGTCCCTGTCCATCACTACGACCTCTACCACAGCCTCTGTCTTCTCACCACACAGCCCACAACCACACAAGCAGCATCTCCCACACACGCACAACCCTTCAAGCAGCTTCCCTCACATAAACAACCCCACATGCAGCTTCTACACACACACACACACACACAAATGCATACCTTTAGACTTTTCCATATATATATATATATATATATATATATATATATTTTCCCAGGTCCCAGCACTCAATGTTCCCGGTCTTTTCCATGCTCCGGTGCAAGTAATCTCTGACCAATATATAGCATCCAAGTAGAGAGCACTCTGGAGTCTTCGTTTTATATCAAAATAAATACTGCTTTATTGTGCAGAATACAAAAATGTCGACGTTTCAGTCACAATAGACTTTTCTCAAGACAATTCATGCAATGAATAAACCATGATTATATATGTTACAACAAAATTCCTATTGGAGGGTGAAAGATTGAAAGCAAGAACAGGTGACATCATAATTGACGTATTTAAACAGAATATTAACCAGGTGATTCTTGACTCAATTAAGGTTTGAAAAAGTGACCCAGTGCTAATTAAATACACAGAAGGCTATTTACAAAATAAAAACTAAAACTAATAATACATATACCTAACAAATATAGTGCTTTTCAAGTAGGCTTTAAACATCTTGCATATAAGTAACAACTTGAAAAAAGTGATATGATATAATAAACATATAAGTAGTATACCACTTTATGTTTTTTTTTAAATGTATTTATTTCTCTTTCTTTCTGTCGTTTTCTCTTATTTAATTTCTTTTTACAAGTTAACGATTCTTTATAATTAACAAAGTACAAGCAAATATTTAGATTTGTATGAAAAACAATACTACATTAAACTTTCATACATTCAGCATTCACTCAAGGTCTTTATAGAGGGGAGGGGGGATAGGAGATGACATAATTTTCCCGTCTAGAATAAGCTCGAATTGTTCTCCTTGAATTGTTTCCAGGGAGCATAAAGCTTCAGATATTTGATGTATTGAGATTGGTCTAAATGAAAAGAGGCCTCCATTCTATGTTGGTAATCTATTTGTTGCAATATTTCTGTCCAACCTAAATCACCCTTAGATTTCCATTTTCATGCAATACTAATTTTAACTGTTAACATTATGTGAACAATTAGACAATTCTAAGGATGATTTCCAGGTAACAACATATTAAAAAGAAAGATCTGAGGAGTTAGAACAAAGTAAATTCCAGTAGAGACTTAAGAAACTTCTGTAAGGGCTTTACAGTTTTTTTTTTTAATTCAGGACATCCCCACCAGATATGTAAGAAGGAACCCACGTTTGATTCGCATCTCCAACACATTTGTGAAGTATTGGAGTTTGTGCAGTCTAACTGGGACTAAGTACCAGCGTAAAGTTATTTTGTACTGAGTTTCTATTAGAGTCATGCTGTAAACATTCCTCCTAACAATGATCAAACCCTTCAACCATTCTTTATATTGCAGTTCAACATTCATCTCCTTTTCCCATTTAATCCATGGATATTTTTTTTCTTGTGGTTGTAATAGGTTGAACAAATTGGAAACCCTAGAGGTGATCTTATGTTTATGATGTTTATAAACAAAAAATTCAATTACAGGGTTATCCATTACAATGGTTTTTTTTTTATGACATTTTTCAATCTAAGATAACTAAAAACCTACGATTAATCAAAACTCATCTGGAGCAAATCAAAAGGTAAGAAGAACCCCTCTGGTGCTAGATCTTTTAGAGTTTTGATGCTCTTTTCTCTCCAACTTAACAAACTAATGTCACCTATATCTAGTTCAATAGTTTCTAATGGCATATTATGCAAGAGGGAACATCGTAAACCCAGTTCTGTAATCTTTAAATTATAAAAGGTTATGTAAATATCTTTAATTATCGGGTAATGAATACAAAAAAGTTCTACTTCCTTTCTCCTTAAGGTCTATATTGGACCAAAGTATTATTATTTTTATTATGTTATTATTATGTTATTATTTATATAGCGCCAACAAATTCCTCAGCGCGCAGTGGGTGGACAAACAAACATGTATTTGTAACCAGACAAGTTGGACACACAGGAACAGAGGGGTTGCGGGCCCTGCTCAATGAGCTTACATACTAGAGGAAGTGGGGTAAAGTGACACAAAAGGTAAGGATAGTATTAGACTAATGACAGTTGCAAGAGAGGAATCAGTCGGGAGCTATTAACAGTTTAATTGATATGCTTTTATGAAGAAGTGGGTTTTTAATGATTTTTTTTAAGGAGTGGAGACTGGGTGAACATCTAACAGAGGAGGCAAGTGAGTTCCACAGGAATGGTGCAGCCCTCGAGAAGTCTTGAAGGTGAGCATCAGAGGTGAGAGTATGGACAGAAGATAGACGTAAGTCTTCAGCAGAGCGTAAGGGCCTAGACGTGACATACTTGTGTATTAGGGAGGATAGATAGGTGGGAGCAGCATTATGTATTGATATGAAAGCAAGAACCAGAATTTTAAATTGAGCCCTATTTCTTACAGGAAGCCAATGTAGGGACTGACAGAAGGGTGAGGCGTGGGAGGTGTGGGCGGCAGGAAGATTAGCCTCGTCACCGCATTCATTATAAACTGTAATGGCGCAAGTTGGGAGCACGTAAGACCACTGAGAAGCGGATTACAGTAGTCAAGGTGAGAAAGGACAGTGGAATTGACCAGCACCATAGTCACATCTGGCGTTAAGTAGGGTCAGATGCACGCAATGTTTTTGAGATGGAAGCGGCAGGATTTGGCGATAGACTGAACATGAGGCATGAAGCTTATGGAGCTTATGGTAGCACCGTTGACTTGGAGGGAGACAGACACAGGAGTAGCAACACTACTTTTGGTCAACTTGAGTTTAAGGAAGTGGGCAGCCATCCAGTTAGAAATAGCAAAGACACTAGTCAAGAGGGAAGGGGAGAGATCAGGAGAGGACAGATAGCTTTGCGTGTCATCTGCATAGAAATTATATTGGAGGCCAAAGCAGCTAATGAGTTTACCAAGGGAGGCAGTATAGATAGAGAACAGTAGGGGACCAAGGACTGAACCTTGGGGAACACCAAAAGAGAGGAGTTGGTGGGAAAAAGCAGAGCCAGAGAAAGAAACACTGAAAGAGCACTGGGAGAGGTAGGAGGAGCACCAGGAGAGAGCAATATCTTGTAGACCGATATTGCAGAGGATGAGAAGAAGCTGTTGATGATCAACAGTGTCAAAAGCCGCAGAAAGGTCAAGGAGAATTAGGATAGAGTAGTGACCACGATATGTAGAGACCACAGCATAAATTTATAGTGGAGAAAGTCAGTAGCACAGTGAGACTTTCTCCAACAGCATTCAGCAGTTCTGGAGCATTTTTTAAGATATCGAGTCAGCTTGGTGTGCCAAGGTTGTTGTTGGGGGCGCTTGCTGCATTTAAATGTAGGAGGTGCCATGATGTCTAGTTGAGAGGAGATGGTGGAATTGTAAAATGAGGCTGCAGAGCTAGGACAGGTGAGATTTGAGATAGGTAAAAGGAGAGTTTGGAGATTAGTGGAGAAATGCTCTAGGTCAAGATATTGGAGGTTTCTGCGAGATTGATGTTCAGACTTTGGTGTCAATTGGGTCTTGGGTATGCTGATGTCAAAAGTCAGCAGATGATGGTCAGATAGAGGAAAAGGAATATTGGAGAGATTAGAGGCGGTACAAAGATTGGTGAAGGAGAGATCAAGAGTATTTCCCGCTGTATGGGTTGCTAAATTGGACCATTGCGTGAGTCCAAAGGAGGAGGTTACAGAGAGCAGACGAGAGGTATCGGTGTAGTTGGGGTTGTTGATTGGGATATTGAAATCCCCAAGTATAAGGGAAGGAGTGCTAGATGAGAGGAAGTGGGGAAGCCAGGAAGAAAAGTGCTCAATGAACAGCCTAAGATGATCGGTTGGGCGGTAAATGATAGCAATTCTTAAAGGAGTGGGTTTAAATAGGCAAGCAGTGTAACTTAAAAAGAAGAAAATGATATGGCAGGGGCAGTTATGATTGGTTGAAAGGTTCTGGTTTCCCTAAATCTTGTTTCTTGATCTCCAGCCAACTGGGTCTGTAGGTTGACATATTGTCCCAGGCGATAGCATGCACAAATATATTGTTTTTATACAAGGAGAATATGTTAGGAAATGATAGCCCCCCCATTTTAAAATTCTTATGTAAAGTATCTGAGGAAATTCTAGATTTCTTGTCCTGCTAAATACATTTATAAATCATTAGTTGGATTTCTTTAAGTATTAAATTATTAATTCTGAGAGGTATGTTTTTAAACAAATATAAAATTTTAATGAGCAAATAGGATTTTACCACTGCTGCTCTTCCCATCCAAGATAGTTCCCTCCCTTTACAATTTGCTAAAGTATTTCTAAAATCGCAAAGTTTAAGATTATAATTTTCTTTTCTGATATAGTCTAAATCCATATATAGTTTAATCCCCAAATAGTCTATATATTTGGAGTGACAGTCAAATTTAAATCTTGAATTAATGTACTCAAGATCCGCAAAAGATACATTATTCAATAGTACTTGAGTTTTATTAAAATTTAGTTTAAAATTTGAAAAAACTGCCATATTCTTCAACCAAATGGATGACTTTTGGGGATTGAGAATTTTGGTTTGGCTAGAGTTAAAAGGACATCGTCCGCATACAAGGAAATTTTACATTCCAATGTTCCGATAGTAATACCCTTCATTTCTTTATCTTGTCTAATCTGCTTAGCTAACGTTTCCATCGTCATGACATACAAGAAAGGAGCAAGTTGTTTTCCCTTAACTACAATTGTTTTTATTTTATCAGCACTTCTCTTATTCTTTAACTCACTTGTTAAAATTTTACTATATCGATTAGCAGCATGGTACCATTTTTGTTTTAAAATAAAAAGATTTTTGAAAGTGCCTGCTCTGTGATTTCCTTTCTCACTCTATTGATCTCTGACAAGGTGGAAGGATCCAAGGAGGCCTTATGGCATCTTTCTAATTTTGCTAAATGAATATATAAAATGCTCAGTGATTATCCACGTTTTATTTTTGTTTGAGTGCCTATTTTCATGAGTATACCACTTATATAACACGTCAAAGTATACCATAAGGTCATATCAAGAACCTCGCCCCTGTCATTTTGATCTAAAAAATCTTGAATGTGGGATGAAAGAGACAGAATGTTTTCGCTCTTACATAGCAGACTCTCATTAAGCCGCCAATTATTCCTGACCTTATATTCCACGTTATTCTTGAGAGAAACAAAAATAGGGGCATGGTCAGATCACGTTATTGAGCCGATTTTAACATTTGTTACATAGTTCAATAAATTAGATCTTAACAAAAACTAATCTATGCAAGAATATGTTTGGTGCATTTGAGAAAAAAAGGTATAATCTCGCCCCATTAGATTATTCACTCTCCAACTGTCATATAGTTGGTAACTATGTACAAAATTTTGCATTACTGTAGTTAACTTTAAGGTCTGGGAGTCTATCTTAATTTTAGGATTATTTCTATTATATTTATGGTCCATAATGCAGTTAAAATAACCCCCTATTATTATCTGCCTGCTTCCAGTTTGTCTATTTGGTTTATAAATTTGTTTAAAAATCACAAAGAGAATTGATTTGGAGCGTACAAATTGACAATTGTATATAAAATGTCATTTATTTTTGCAATTAAAATTAGATAACACCCATTCTCATCCCTTTCCCCAAAAATTTCCTCAAATTTAACTTTTTCTGGAAGGATAATGGCCACCCCTCTCTTTTCTTTTGGGTCTTGATATTTGTAGTGAATATATAGGGGTATTTAGAGATCCTGCACAGCCCAGAAGCCTTCTCTTGCCAATGCGTTTCTTGAACCAGAGCTATATCCACATTATTTTCTTGCAATAATTCATAAAGATGACTACGTTTCTGAGATGAATTCAGGCCCCTGACATTCAGGGAGACTAAGTTAATAGATATAAGGTTTACTGACTGTTACACATTTAAGTACATCAACTCTATCAACCCCCCACCCCAGGACCTTCTCCAAACATACCACAAACCATACATTCAACTCGACCTTCCACCGGCATATCCTTGAGGGATAGTCGATGAAGGTCCATACCTCCTAACCAAAGCACGAGTGACTCAAATACATTTTGAGTTCGTGCTTAAACCTGCAGCCACCGCAGGATCAAAGAAAGCCCAGAAAGAGGGGGAGGCCACACGATAATTCTCTCTATTAATATTAAGAGGCTAATGAAGCTCAACATCTGCACAAAGTCATAAATTAACATCTCTTTGAAGGGAGAGGGGAGAAAAGAGGGTAGAACGACAAACCTCCTGAAGCATTTCGACCTCGCCGTTACCCCGTTTCACTTCCCCATCCATCCAACACCCAAAAAAGTCCCAATCCCTGCCCTTCCCCTTGTAAATTTATACCATAATTAGAATGACTGAATATTTATATATAAATATCTATTTCAATTTTGCCTTCTGTGTAAGAACTGTGCTGTTATTCTTCTAAATTGTTCAAACCCCTGTGATCCTTGTCTGCAGGTAGCACGGTCCTCTTGGGCACAAACATGCACAGTCTTTTAAGGCAACTTAATTCCAGGCACTTTATTGTTAAACTCCACCACAGATACAGTAGCAAATGAAAAAAAACAGTAACACAAGTCCCTATAAACAAAAACTTAGCTCGGTCTGAGCACTGACTAACATCAAGTTCCCTATCTCTCAAGGGTTTAAACTATAACAGAACAATAATTGGTTTCACCAACCTAGTGCCTTTGTCAGATCTCTGCATTCCACACTCAGTTAGCATGTGGCTTCCATTCCTTCTAGAAAGAAACACAATTATCTTTCCTTTCCGCACTCCAGTGCTCACAGCTAGCCTGCTGCTTTGCTTTCTGCACTCCCAGTGCTCCAAGCCAGCCTTGACTGCCTCCTTCTGCACTTCCAGTGCTCCAAGCCAGCCTTCACTGCTTTCCCTTCTGCACACCCAGTGCTCGAAGCCAGCCTTAACTGCTTTCCTTCTGCACACCCAGGGCTCAGTCTCCTTGACTCTCTCACAGGAAAGAACAGCGTCTCTCCTACCTGCTTCCAGGGAGGAAGCCAACAATCCCCCTTTACCTGCCTAGCAGGGAGGGGTTTATTCCCACTGCTGCAGCTGATTATCTGCAGCTGAGCAGTGGGTTGGAGACAGATCAAAACTCTGGCCTGGAACTTCTTTCTCCCAGTTGTATGCAAACTGCGGAGTGGAGCATTGGCCCACCCTGCTCTCCAAATGCTCCACCCCAGGGGCCCATAACTAAACTTTCATTTGTGTTGCTTACAACACATACTACACATACTCCCCCTGGGGTTAAATGTTATAGGCCTATCTGCCTTCACTTTATCACACCCCATATAAACACCCACCCATTCCCTCCCATTTCTCACCCTATCATATTGGTGAGAATACCAAAAGTGTTTACCCCTTTCATATTTAGAATCATCATTATTGCTTCATACT